CGATTTAGACGAGCCTAATTCCAGCATCGCCGATGGTGTTGTGCGTCCTAACGAGTTACGAAACAATATTGGTTGCGATTCGGTGATTAGACCGGGGCGACGTCCCGGGGCGCTCTGCCCTGCATGGTTGTAACGAGTAATCTGCGATCCGAGCTCAATCGGTGATCTGAAGTTGAAGTGGCATCACCCCACCGTGAGAGTGAAAAATGTTGGAGCAAGCAGTCATGGTCAGCCGTCGTCCCAGGTCAAAGCCCCTGAGGATCCAGGCGTAATAAGACTCTTTTCGTATGCTTGTCGGAGGGAGTCAGCTGCATGCCTGCCGTGAGATGCATTAACGAGTGTTCCAGCTGGACCCTTTACTGCGATGGCCCTCTCGATTGCGATGCTGGCAGCGACGAGGGCGGCACAGTGGGAGTCAAGTGCGCCAATCATGGCGGCAGGGTGTCTGAGCCGAACAACCAAGGACAGATCAGGGTCCAGGAAATCGATTGCGCTTCCCAGCCGTTGCCAGCACCGTGCAAGAGTGACCTCATCCAGGGAGGGGACACGGGGAGTGTGCGTCAGGAGAGGGCCGGCTAGCATTTGCAATCTCGATGGATGCTGTGGCCGTGTGAGAGTGCGCGTGGCTGGTGAGGCTCTAGCGGCAGCGTGTCAACGGTTCGTGCCGCCACGGTTCTGCTGTGATGGGAAGCCATGGTGTGAAGAGGGTCTGGACCATCTCTCATGCCGTGCAGCACTGGCAGCAACTGTCAGACGCGGATCTAGACGGTGGCAAGTGTAGATATGTGCGGGTGGTTGCATGTTGTTCGCAGTGCGGCAGTGCTGCTAGAAGGTTGTGTTCTCCGGAGAAGCATAGGAGAGGACGGCCATCACAGATATGGAGAGCCATCGAGACGGCAGGGTCAACGGGCGGAACAGAAGGGCGATGGGCTTCCCAGTGGGCGATGGTGGGTTAGAGATCAAGGCCCATCGTCGATTGCCGGTAGTTCTTGCGCTAGGCCCGAACGCCACACTTCCTCTTCGCGGCCAGGTACCCTCGATCTCCAGCTGCAGTCTTGGCAAGTTGGAAATCGAGAGCATCGACATGGTTACCCACATCAAGATCGATGCCCATCATGGCTCACCTGCTCAAACCAGCGCCGAGAGAGCCCACAACTCTCTTCAGCCATCTTTCAATTTGCACGCTGAAACTGCCCTCCCACCATACGACGACGCCGCTACCAGCACCCTACATACCATACGAACCACCGCCGCGGAAGCGTCTGATCTATTCGAGCCTGGGCACAACAGCCTCCCGGTCTACGATATACGCACACCTTGGACATTTGATAGCTAGCGGCCTGCCATTCACCATCATCCACATGGGGAGCATCCTGCCTGTCTAGCCCCCAACTCTCACCCGCCTCTCTCCACCCGCCATGAACGACCGCCCGGGAACCATTCCCATGGCTGCGCGCTCCCACCCACGCCGCCCGCCAGCCCACCGCTCCGTCTCTCTCCGCCACAGCCCACCGCCCAAGCCCCAGCCCTCAAGACGCGAGCCCAGGAAGGTGCCAACCGCAGAGACGTCGCCCACGCTCGCCAGCGACAAGGCCAATCCGCCCTCGAGCGTCTCCCCCCAGCTGCTCTCCAACAAGACCAGCTCCGGCGAGAGCAGCGACGCCGGCCAGTGGTTTGAGAAGACCAACAACACGGCCAGCCAGGGAAAGTCGTCGTTCGTCGACAGTGAGTGCCTCCGACATAGTAGATGAGAGAGTGTGACTGACCATTAAGATGAACCGCCCTTCTTCCTCCGCAACTCGTCTTCGTCCGAGACGCCGCCCGACACCACCCAGGCACAGGTCGCCATGCCCTACCGCCCCCTCGGCCAGATTGGCACAGACGGCAGCAGCACCGAAGACTTCCGCAGCGTCATCGACGATCTGACCGTTGCCAACAAGAAGCTCAAGCAGCGGCTGAGGAAGTACGAGAAGCTCTACGATGCCCACCTGCAGGAAGAGAAGCTGTTCGAGGTGAGGTTCCACGGCCTGCCCGACCACAAGAAGAAGGAACTCGAAGAGACGCTGCGCAAGTTTGCATCAGATCTCGACGAAGGCACCGCCAACGACTACGCCGACATCTCAGCCTACACCCCGGCACTCCAAACCCACAACACCGCCTCCTCCACATCGCGCTTCGCCGAGTCAGGCTACGCTTCCCTATCTGCATCTGGCCCCAACTCATCAGGCCAGTCCAACCAGGACAACGACCGCCGCAAAATGACCAAGTCCGCCTACAGCCGTCAACAGCAAGACATCCAGTCGTACCTCCACGATATCCCCATGGGCCTACTCCCGAACAACAAGACCGCCCCCATGACCGACAAGTCCAAGAAGAAGATGGTCGTGCGCCGTTTGGAGCAGATCTTTGCTGGCAAGCGCTCTACGCCCGGGTCCCACCCACACCCAATGCAGCAACAGGAGGTAGCCCAGTCGGCAGCTACAGCCGACCGTGTCCAACGAGAAGCGACAGGACAAAATCAGAAGCCTGAGGGTCAGCGTGAAGCTCGCATCAGGAACGACCGCGGTCCCAATGTTGGTCAAGAGAGCCATACAGACCAGGACGAAGTCCTACAGGGCTTCCGCCCCAGCCTGCATATCGAGGAACAGGACTTCGCCGGCTCAGGCCTGTCTCCCGATCAACGACCCACACGACCGCTAGACCTGGACCCGTACCGTGCACAAGTGCCTACCGAGAACATGGACTACATCCGCCATCTTGGCTTCACCCCACCAGACATGGACTCTGGAGAAGCACCCCTCGGCCACGGCTGGATTTACCTCAACCTGCTCATCAACATGGCCCAACTACACACTCTCAACGTCACGCCCGAGTTCGTCAAGGACGCCTTGCACGAGTACAGCAACCATCTCGAAATCTCTCGCGATGGTCGCAAAATCCGATGGAAGGGCGGCCTCGACATTACCAAGCACAGTGGTGATAGCTCTTCGGAGCATTGGAGCGGCGCCTCGCCTAATGAATCCGGCTCCCAGTCACCTTTCAAGGGTATGAAGAGTGGCATGAGCGGTGCCAGCAGCAATATGATGGATGAAGCCACGATTGCCAGAAGGCAAGCTTGTGCCCAGCGTGAGAAGGAGCAAAACAAGTTTGCGTACAAACCCATGTTCTTCCACAAGGACGAGTCGGAGAACGAAGACGAGTTTTACGCCTTCGATGCCGAATCCTCAGCCAACTACTCTTACCAACCACAGCCTACGGGCAACTCCTCGGGTTTCAGCAGTTCCATCATGCAGAGCTCCTCATCAAAACCTCGCAGGCGCGATGACGGACCCATGATTTTCTACACCAAGGCCAAGTTCTGCACTGACCTGAGCGGTGATCGTAACGGCGCCTTCCTTACCATGCCCGGCAACTATCAGCCAATCACGAACCAGCCTCTTGGCGCCAAACAGGGCACATCATCCCCGACCAAGAGGACGTCGTTGGACCTGGCCGAGCCCCGAGGTCCTTTGGACACTACGCCGATGGATGTTGACAGCGGGTCACGCACTGTCTCGAGTGGAGATGACCTTGGCTTCTCGCCCGAGGCTTTGAGGAACGATAGCGGCAACACCAGCCCAGAACTAATGGACTTTGAGGCTTCGGGTCTGGGTGGTGTGCAGCCAGAGGACAACTTCTCCATTCACGTACGACGATCACAGGTACCCACCGCGCCATCCCATGTCGCCGCTCGCCGCTGGTCCACCTTGTACCCCAAGGCCATCCAGGATGCACTCAACGACAGGCAGTCGTCTCCTGAAGTCGAGTCTCCTAGATCAAGTCCTCAGCGTGTAATTGAGGAGAGGATTCTTTCTGCGTCACGGAAAAACCTTCCTAGCTCAACTCTCCCTCCGGCCTCTTTCCTTCCGCTGGATTCCTGCTCCTCTGGCGACGTCGACTCGGACTGTGCTTCCGACGCCTCATCCGAGCCCGACAGCGACAGCGACAGCAACTCCGGCGGCCCCACAACCGCCATGCAAATCCTCAATATTGCACCCATCGCCTCCGACGTCTCTGAAGGATCTGAATCGGATTACGAAGACAGTGACGACGGCAGCGTCGACATGCTCGCTACAGCCCGCCAACAGGACCCCAGCGCTGTCCGTGCTAGCGAGCGCGAATACGACGCTGCTCTCGCCGATCGTCTTGCCGAGGAGATTCCCGCTGGAAGTTCGGCTGCAACCGCTGGAGGCGGAAGTGGGTTCAACAGCCCTGCCGGTGGTGTTCGCATTCGCGAGGCTGCGAAGTTGGCTAAGCGTGCTAGCCAGGCCAGCAGTGGAAGCAGCAGGGCTGGTCCACCAGCGAATCTCAAACGTGCCCGCACGAGCGATTCGTTTAATCCTCCTCCTCCGAAGAGTCCCAAGACGCGGAGGATGGGGGAGTGATCTGACTAGCAACTTGACTGTTCTCATCTTTTTCAGTTCCAGTAAATTATAGTGAGCGTTCACGTTTGGAGATCCACGAGGCGTTTTGGATCTTTTCTTTCTTTACGGATGGGCGGCAAGGGATTTTCACATGGATGATTTCGCCATTTTGATACCCCCCTTTTTAGGATATTGTTGGTTGGTTATTTGAGTACAACACATACTGAATGGTAGTACATGTCAATCCATGAAAGTATCAACACAAGTTTTGTTCAAGTGGCATGTGATGTACTGTTATGACGACAAGAGACTGGACTAACATGGGTGAACAGGTTTTGCAAAAGGGCGAAGGCTTTGGAGACCACGTGGACACTGTAATTTAGTGAGAACAGAGCAATGTGCCCTCCTAATCTACTTGAGCAGCCGTATATCCCTTACAAGGAACTTTATGTCTCTTCCAGTCCTGCAGTTGACATTGCCGTTCGCAGTAGAATGCCGAATTGCATGCACCACACGCATTCAGTTCAGCCAACTTGAAGAGCCCGGGGCGGCCGTCGTTCTGTACGCGGAACGCGTAATGTGCATAGGGACACTACATCAAGCCTGTCAGAAGAACCATTTCGCGTTGCACTACGATGAACGTACCCGTGGACTCGAGCACACCATCGTTCCGTCACTCGTACCTTGCAGTCGAATGTTCTTAGCATCGGAGATCTGGCCCAAGCCTTCAAAGATCAAAGCCAACTGCTCCCTCGCCAATGCCGCGGCATCCTTATCGTCGCCTTTGGCGTATATCTCAAGACTCTTCTCAGTGGCTTCTTTTGCCTCCTGCAGCTGAGAAGCTTTGAGATGTGCCGATCCGATCAGGCACCATGCACCGCCAATGGGTGGTGACTCGGGTTTGTAGGCGCGCAATCGGATTCTCAACATCTCTTTTGCGAGTTGAATGTATCTTTCACGGCCACTTGCGTTGTCCGCAGCCATTTGTTGATGGATTAGACGTTCTGTTTCCCGGTCCACTGCGTGGGCTTCCGCTGAGGTGACATCGTCGCGGAAGTCGGGGTGGATGGAGCTCGCCATGGAAGGCATGATGGCTGTCTCGTGCTGAGTCGGGCGTTGGTAGGTAAATTTTGGTGTTTGTGAAGAGACTGTACGACAGCGTTCAGAGGCCTCTGACTCTGCACGGTGGAAGCAGACCGCCTTCAAGCTCCTCTGCCGCTTGCGGAGCTGGCGTACCCCCCACCTCAACTTTCTTCTTCCTCTTCAGCGCAACGCGACCAACAGCATCGAGTTTCTTTGCGTTGAGCTTTCTTCACATGTTGTATCCGCGACCCAAGCGACTGTATGTCGCATACTGCGTTAGATGCCGGGCTTGTTTGCAAGGCTGTCTTGTCTGCGCGACTCTTTACTTACAACGCGCAACAAAGAGCGCGCCTACAACGGAGTTATCGGTTCGCCAGCCATGCTGTAGTCTTCGCTTATTTCGCGAGATTTTGCTAATACGAGGTTGCATCTGGGTACCTAGGTAGCCGGAAGACGAAAGAGTAGACGCAGTGACGCTCTGCATCGATCAGGTTGGGCAGGCGGGCAGACGTGGTCTGTGCGCAGTTGCCTTAGATGTGCCACCGCCGTCCAGCATCCACCACGATGCTTACATGCTACTCGTTTCTAACAACCCTACAACCTTGCAATGGGATATCAGGCTGGCGATCAGTACTCGTCATATCGCGATGATGCAGTGACGCACGCGACACGGTTCGCCTGCTCGCCATCGTGTCGCTTCACTCTGGCGACCGGTCAATACAAGTGGCGGAGTTGCCGGTAATGAACGATTGTGTGGCTGGCGGCATGCACTTCGATTCGCCTGATTTCGATTACACATGCAGCAGCAAGCTTCATAGGTGCACTTACCGCGATAGTCTCGATTGGATGGATATGCAGCTCAGCACGGCGCCCGCATGAGGCTGAACATTGGCGTAGGTAATCTTTGCCGCAATGACTTCCCCGCAACTCTTTCACGACCTTGTCTCTTTCATAATCGCCTAAGGACTCCCGGAGACCATGCAACGGCCACTGAACGACTGCGAGAGCCGCAGTGTAGGTTGTACCCGCAATCTAGCCAAGGTCTGGTACTGTGTGGACTGTGCCTGTGAGTTCTGCGACCCGTGTTGGCAACACTTTCTGGCGCATCGTGGCGGGAAAGAAGGAAGAGATGGATCGCATGAGAAGGTAGAGTATCGTGTGTATGCGAAACTCAAGAGCATACTGGATCCACAATACAATGAAGACAAGGTGGAAGAACTCCACGAGGATGACCTGGCAACTACCTGGTTTGGTACGATTTGTTCCTTAACAAAAGCTCTTACAACGACTGACCTCGTCTAAGGCATAAAAAGAGACGACGATCCAGAACGGTACGACAGCCTCCATAGAAGAGGTGACCAGTCAGACCGTCAACAATTTTTCGACTATGATGTGTACTCAGCCTTGTTGGGTAACCCGCTCAAGAATGGAAAAGAAAAATACCCGCAACTGGTATCTTTCATCGGCCAAACCAGTAACGAACCCATCAATTGTACCGTTAATTCTTCGAGACTAACTGCGCACCAGATGCTGGGAAAAGTACATTGATAAAGATGCTCATTCAGTTGCAAGGGGTCGGCGGTCTGAAGGAACGCTATCCTTCTCCTGTTGTTGGCTTGAAGCGTCTAGAGCCACAGTCTGGACACGAGAGGCTCGGTAACGATCCAGTGGAGCACACTCCAACATCGGCCGACGTACATCTGTACGCAGACCCAATGAGCACGGATTCCCGAACACCTCTACTGTACGCAGACTGTGAGGGCTTAGAAGGTGGAGAGAATCCGCCGATCGGTGCCCATGAGAATCGTAGGTCGCGGTCGAATCCCGAACGCATCCATGCGCAACTGGGTGAAGGTCGTATGCGATCATTGGCATGGGCTACTGCAGATACTGAGAGGGCAAGAAGAAGATACATTGTGAAAGAGCTTTACCCACGCATTCTCTACACTCTCTCAGATGTTGTGGTCTTTGTTATGCATGGCACGAACTCCAAGTATGTGTAAGGACTCCTATTGGGCTCTTTTTGCTTATAATGTTTTAGAACATTCGAAGTCACAACTCTGCAACCTTTACTGCAATGGGCAGAAGCATCATTGGAGACATCGGTTAATCAACCAACACTTCCGCACGCCATTATCGCATTGAACCAATGTGGGCCGAGCGCAAATCCATATGAATGGGACAACGAATCGGCAACAGACAGCTTGTTAGCGGCCAACAAACACTGTATCCATCCAAGACATGGACACCCCTTCTTCATCAGTCTCGTCAAAACCTGGAAAGAAAGAGGACGACGCGTCAGAACCATTCTGGAACTTATAGAATGCTACTACTCCACATTTCAAGTCATACGCATACCACGCGGAGGTCGATATCGGCTATTGCACGATCAGATCGATCGACTTCACCAAGTAATCACGAAATCGTGCGAAAGGTCCTTCGATACTCGGAAAAAAGCGAACATGCTCTTCAAATCTTTTGAGCTGGATACGCATTTCCAGTCAGTGTTCAGTCATTTTTCACGGACACTCACTATGCCTTTCGACTTTGTTACCATGTCTCTGCGCAACAATCCGATACCCAATGATTTTGGTGGCCATATGCTTCAGCTCGCCCTGGCCATAGAGGCCCACGACAAGGAAATCGCGCTGAATACACCCGCTCTTGAGAAGACGCGCAAAGCTAGGCTCATATTCGATCGCATGGCTAGACTTGTGGCTTCTAGTATCTCTCTTGATTGCGTCCGTCATCGAAAAGGTACGTGACAGTTCCTTTGCATGGTTTTGCTTTAAGAGTCGACATACAGAATGCTCATTTCGAGCGCCTGGCCGACACGAGAATGATGAACCAGCAACTATGGCCAGTGTAGTATCATTGTAGCTCCGAGCCTAGTCTCTGTTTACTACCTTCTCCGGCAGGTGCTACTAGACTTCTTGCCGCCAATCGTTTCTCCTATTCCCCAATTATTGATCTTTGCTACTTCTGACGCGCAACAGGCTCTCCTCTAGATCACTTCGCTCATTACACCGACTACTGCCAGTTCTCAGTAGAGACGTTTTGGAGTCAACATCTCACCTGTGAATTCCGCAACGGTTCGTATCAATGCGTAAACGTCGCTGCCAATCACAACCCGAAAGGGCACCAAGACGCTAGAGGCAAGATAAAACCAGGCGAATTTGAGTCCAGTTTCAACCCAGAGGGCTATCTACCATCTTGGAAGAAGGAAATCCGGTTGCAGATGCGCATCATCGATTGCGAACTAGAGAATGCCTCGCAACGATCCCCAAGCTATTCCAAGGAAGCTTACATGATGCAGATCCATCGCGACGACATGGTGAGCTGTTATGATGCTTCTTTGGGTTCAGCTGGTGGGATTTTGAGTTACGCCACATGCTTCTGCTGTCTTATGCAGTCACCTGAGCACGCTCTCCGTTGTGGTCATGTACTCTGCACGCAGTGTGTGCGAGCCCATGGACAGCCTCTGCACGACAATACTAGCACGAGGTCCGTTGTCAGACTAGACTGCTGTCCTTTACACCCTAGGAAAACGGATTGGGAAGTGCCATGCCTCATCAGGTTTAAGCCTGAACACGCGGGAGTTCGCCTCCTATGTCTTGATGGGTGAGTCAATTCTAGCTTCGATTGGAAGCTTTTTATCGCTCTTCAACTCCAAGTGAAGCAAGCAATGGCCTAGTATACCCATATCCATCTACTTATACCCCCAATCTCTCTTTCGCATGGCTAGTTTCATTCGAGGCGCTGACGTATATAAAGTGGTGGCATCCGCGGAATCGTTGAGCTCGAAGTGCTAAGAGCCCTCCAAAACCAGATTGGTGACAAAATTCCGATACAGGCATTTTTCGATTTGATTATGGGAACGAGGTAAGGTTTCGAGTAGTCATATATACCACAAGACTCACACCTCGCAGTACCGGTGGAATTATTGCGCTAGCGATGGTTGCCAAAGCTTGGAGCCTTAGGCGCTGCTCCGACAAGTTCAGAAAGCTGTGCAGTACCGCTTTCACACCGCGGATGTTGCACAACATCCCTTTCTTGAGACACCTGATAACACTGAAGCTTGCTTCCAAGTATTCGACTGGCCCTCTCAGAGAGACGCTGACACGAGAATTTGGAAAAGAACGTCTTTTCGGGAACTATGGAGAACGGAGCTCGTATCTTAACACAAAGGTCGCCGTGACCGCGACAGATAAAACCGGGTCTAAAGCAATCGTTATTGCGAACTACAGCCGGCCAGAGGGTGAGAAGAAAAGACTACGCCCCGCAGAGTATGAGTTTCTGCGACCAGATCGACCAAGGTTCGGCTTCTCAATCGCAGACGCGGCAGCTGCCACGTCGGCTGCACCCAGCTTTTTCAAGCCGTTCGAGCACGCTCATACCTATCGCACATACCTAGACGGCGCGCTTTACCACAACAATCCCGTCCGGCTCATGAACCATGAGAGAAAGCTGCTCTGGCCCGATGTCGCCGGTCAAGACCCCGATCTCTTCCTTTCGATAGGCACAAGTCAAAACAAGGCGGACATGCAAGCCGGCCAAGCCGACTCGACAACAACGGCTTCTGAGTTAAAGTAAGTATATTCAACGTGCCACGTAACAGTCTTCCAGTTTGTCAAGATGTGCCTCAACAAGCAGTTATGGGGAACGTACTGATGAAGAAAGTGCCCGACAACCCACCTTCCACATGATGCCTCAGATCGTTTCCACAATGGTACGTCCTTCCAAGATTTGCTTCAATTGCGACGCGAAAACTTCTGAGAACTGTGCTGAACAACTCGGCAGCGAAACCTCATGGACAATATTCTCGACGCCGAGAAAGCGTGGGATAAATTTCGCTCTGACATGTGCGCAACGAGTAGCAGCGCTTCGCGCTACGTGCGCATCAATCCGAATATCGGACGTTGTCCGCCATGTCTGGACGAGGTAAAAGAGATCGGACGATTAATCGGTGACGTTCGCGCATCCATGAAGACCCCAGAAAGCCGTGCTCAGATTGCAAGGACTATGCACATACTTGTGGCTAGCTCGTTCTACTTCGAACTGCTCAATGGCCCTGTGCCGAATGATGACGGAACTTTCTCTTGCGAAGGTACGCTATCGTCACGAACAACAATATGAGATGCATCTGACTGTTGTACAAGGCCAAATCTGCTGTAGATTCGAGAACGACTCGCCTTACCTCTCGGGCCTAGGCGACTTCTTCGCAAAACGGCAGACAAGTAATTCTCCAACTTTTTTCGAGATTGAGTCTGATCTCGACCGTCTTCATACCCACCAGGTAGGCCTATCGGTGATGAGTTCGATCCCCAGGCTAACCTTTCAAGATCCCTTTGTCGTTGCAGATTATTTCGGAGATGCGACAACTGGTATCGTTTCAACTACCTGTCGTTACGATACGCGCAAGGAGGAAAGACTCAAAGATTAACATCTCACTGCACATTCGAAGCCGCGATTTGGCACCCGCAAAACACCACATAAGTGGTTTTCCGCGTGCGGTCATGAATGACAGTCAGCCGAGGTGTGAGTAGCAGCGATACTGCGGCTATAAGCAGGGTGCTGATATCGTGAAGCTTCTAGCAGCACAACTTTGCCGAGTGTAAGAAGGGACTCGCCTCGTGATCATCACGAGTTACCAACTTCGAGCGAAATATCTGAGCTGGACGCACAACCGCCACGACCCGCAATTTCTTACAGAAGCGTCTCCGAACAGACTACCTCAGATAGTGCTGAGAGGTTATCGACTTACAGAAGGACGAGGCCGAGGTCGATCGATACCGTGACCAGTCATCAAGCCAGGCGACGACAGCCAACAGTCGAGGTACCAGCAGAACACATGAGAGGCACTTGTATGCCTCAAAAATTCACACAGTATCGACCGGCGGGCCATTCTAACAGTGTGAAGCCAGTAGAGTTACCTAGCATCGATACGCCCGCACTTAACAGGCCATTGAAGCAGCCAAAACGAAGAGGCAATACATCGCATGCCGCCACCACTTCTACTGACCCGTCTGGAATTTTGCAGACGCACGACTCACAGCAAGCTCGAGGGTTGCATAGAACAATGGAGATTGGCCATGTACCAGCTACCGAACGGCGCGCTCAACGACACGTCTCAGATACCCAACCAACAAGCAACACTACTCGGGTCTCAGACACCAGACGCATGAGCGATCAGTCAAGTGTGCGAACAACTAGACGGCCTCCCACTCTGGGCGAAGCCCAAACTTCAGATAGCACCGATCAAGCACGGCCGATGCCGCTACCTAGATCCAGAGGCGCTTCATACCAAGGACCGTCGCGCCCCAGCTACGCAGAGACGCAGCGACGACAGCCTTTCCTGAATCCAATGCCATCTTCTCTCAATCTTCCTGCCCTAGAGCGCCCTCCTAATACACCGTCTCCAGGCATGTCTTCAGAAGCGAGTGCACCGAGCGTGCAAGCACCGTCTCCCTTATCAGAAATCTCCGATTATGAGGATGGCCCGCAGCGAGAGAGGCAGTCGCGGTTTTCGCTGAGACATATGGCTTCGGTGGTGTTTGGTGAGAACGATGGGAGTGAGGTGTCGAAGGCGTCTTCGCTGGGGCGGAGGAGGCGCCATTGATGATATTTGCCGCATGATAGTCTTAGCGATGCGCAAAGAAGACCGGAGTGAGCCAAGTTTGTATGCGTTTGTTGTGTTGTGTGGATGAAGAAGGGCCGTCTCATTTGGCGATGGCGACGTCAGCGTCCGCCGAACTCCGCGCTGGCAATTACCTGCCACCGAATTGTTGTACAACCACAATCTATCCTCCAAGCAGTTGCACCCTTGATAACACATGTCCAAGCAGCAGCCTACTTTTCAAGCTCTTTCCTAACTACTTTTTACCCATCATGTGCGACAATACGCGCCACCTACATGGGGACATGTTCGCCATGATCGTCGCTCAGCATCTCCGCAAACCTTCTAGCAGTGCGTTCGTCCGCTCGCTTGCATAATGTGAATGTGGGCGCATCGTCGGTGATGTATTCCGGGTCTCTAAACTCTGTCGTCAACGGCCAGCCTAATACCAGCAATCAGACGAAATATGCGCGATGGTGCTCTCGGTGTCTTGTAGCTAAAGAGAGTACAGATGGTTTCAAGGTGTCACAAGGCGAAGGCATTTTACGATGTCGATGTCGCCATCAGGGTCCGCGGGGAGATTGCGCTAAGATTATTGCCGGCCGTAAATCCGACCCGGAGTCTGCCCGGGCGGCGGTGTGTGGAGTCGACTTTTCCTCCCCTCGCCATACATAACAAGCTCGCCAACCTTTACTATGGCGGCAAGCGCCTTCCGCTCGTCCAGCTTTGTTGAAGCATATCTTTTAGGGTACCTTCAGCTGGTATATTTGCACTACCCCGCGCCTCCTTCCCTGGGTAGCTTTCTCAATTTGGAGTCCGCCCTGTCATGACGACATCTTCGATATATACCACCGCGAGCAAATACCCGTAGCGTACCAGCCCAAAGCCACGCCTCCGCCATCGTCCAACCATGTCTTCAGAATACGCGAATAGATCATGGAAGTCGCGTGTACTCCGACCCTCGAAGCACAATGCCACGTCCAACAACGATGCGATAACTCGGGAACCCACGCGACAGTCGCATGGAACGGCAGCCTCGCGCAAGGATGCCTGGTGGAAGACACGCCTGTTCAGCGGCATGATAAATGACATACGGCGGCGAGCACCTTTCTACTTGAGCGACTGGAAAGATGCGTGGGACTATCGCGTCGTGCCTGCGACAGTCTACATGTACTTTGCGAACATTCTGCCAGCACTCGCCTTCTCGCTCGACATGTTCGAAAAGACCAATGAGAGTTTCGGCGTCAACGAGGTCCTTCTCGCCTCAGTGCTGGCTTCGGTCGTCTTCTCGCTCGCCGCAGCACAACCTCTAGTCATCGTGGGCGTTACTGGACCGATTACCGTCTTCAACTATACCGTATACGATATCATCACCCCACGGGGTACCAACTACTTCGCCTTCATGTGCTGGATAGGCATATGGTCCTTGATCTTCCACTGGATCCTCGCCATAACGAACTCCTGTAACGGCCTACGATACGTTACGCGCTTCTCTTGCGACATATTCGGCTTCTACGTCGCGTTCATATATCTACAAAAGGGGATACAGGTGTTGACGAGGCAATGGGCTGTCAGCGACGCATCGGCATACCTTTCGATTGTGATTGCGTTGCTGGTCACTGCGGTCGCATACATCTGCGGCATTGTAGGACAGTCGTCGCTATTGCAGCGCCACGTTCGGAAGTTCGTCGAGGACTACGGTACACCGCTTACCGTGATCTTCTTCACTGGCTTCGTACACATCGGAAAGATGGCTGGCATTGAGTTGCTCAAGCTACCTACTTCGAAGGCATTCTTTCCGACTACAGATCGCGGATGGTTCATCCACTTCTGGGATATAAGTGTCGGCGATGTGTTCCTGGCTATTCCGTTCGCTGTACTCTTGACGATTCTGTTCTGGTTCGACCACAACGTTTCTAGTCTAATCGCGCAGGGCACGGAATTTCCGCTGCGCAAACCCGCAGGCTTCCATTGGGACATTTTTCTCTTGGGCATCACGACTGGAGTTGCGGGATTACTGGGTATCCCATTCCCGAACGGTCTCATTCCGCAGGCGCCATTTCACACTACATCGCTTTGCGTTGCACGCACCGTCGCCGATTCCGACGACGAAGACAACAAAGGCCATGGCAAACGCGTTGTCGACCATGTGGTAGAGCAGCGCGTGTCAAATCTCGCTCAAGGCCTCCTCACCCTAGGCACGATGACCGGACCGCTTCTCATCGTACTGCACCTCATACCACAAGCTGTACTAGCTGGCTTGTTCTTCGTCATGGGTATCCAGGCACTAGAAGCCAACGGTATAACCCTGAAGCTCATCTTCCTCGCAAAAGACAAGCACCTCACATCACGATCCGACCCATTGGCACAGATCAAGCGCCGCTGGGTAATCTGGGCTTTCGTCGGACTCGAACTCATTGGCTTCGGTGCTACTTTCGCGATTACTCAGACAATCGCTGCCATTGGTTTCCCGGTCTTCATCTTTCTGTACATACCCATGCGGACGTTCTTGATGCCCAACTTCTTCACGCAGGAAGAATTGAATGTTCTTGACGCGCCGACTGCTAGTCCGTTTACCATGGAGTCGGTGGGCGGTAACCATGGGCAGGTCGTGGAACCGGATTCGAACGAGCAGATTCTTGCGGAGAGTGAAGAGGCTGAGAGAGGGGAAAGGCGGAGTAGTAATGACGAGAAGATGGGTGTTCTTGAGGGGCCGAGTCGGAGGAGAGGCAGTTTCCAGAGGGCGGACTAGTCGGAAGACTCAAAGAGCAGTTAGTAAAGTAACCGGAGAAGGCCACTACGGCAGTAGAATCTATGGGCCTAAGCAACGTCTCAAGAAGCGAATGACAGAGATTTTCGGTTGAATAGTACACTAACTGCACATGTAGACATATCGCGCGATACTTTCTTGGCGCGATGTAATCGATGGCTGTGGTTCGGAGCGGAAAACATACCTAATCGCACCCAGCTGTACTTGGCAAGGGCAGCGCCCAGCCGACGGACTGTCTTGATCCCCCCCACTTATCTACATCTATCAGCCAAGACTCAAGGATATGGCCCGCTCCAATCATTTGATCGGCTTTCAGATGCGCCGAAGCCCAGCATCCAGACTTTGGGATTTGGGATTACGTGGGTGGATGCCGACGAACAGTTGCTGGCTACGAAAACAATACCTTTGCACATTGGAAGATCATTGTTCCTCGAGGACTCTGGAAACACGCAGAGATATTGAACAAGGCTTTTGTGATGGAGAATTGATATCCTCTGCCAAGTATGACACCGGAGGTGGACCGGCGGCTTCTCGGTGGGCTTACACCTGGAGCAAAGGCCTACGGCACCGCACGATAACATCGCGGGATGACTGATGAATGCTCAACAGTGGGTATCATGGACATCAAGGTAGATACCAGCGATGCTTGGTATTGCCAAGGAATTCCTCTGAAGATTCATAAACGGGCATGTCGAAGAGCAATAGCATGAGGTCCTTGATTACCGACTTCGTCTTCCATCAGCCTCCGGCATGCCGTCCTTCACCAAGTTACTGCCGCTTCTGGCAAGCATTGCCTCGCTCTCGGAATCCAAACCTCTGAGCCAGCCATCGGTCGTCTTCGCTCCTCTCAAAAGCACTACTCCGGGAAGCGCACAAAATATCGTCGTCGACTACTACGGAGATGTCGACGGTGAGCTTACAATCACATACGCGACATGTGACGATGCTGCCGCTTCCATCGTTTCCGCGAAACAACGCATAGGTCAGACGCATGTGGGCGCTCATCCTTTGGCGAGACGCCATGAGGAACATGAGAACAGGCGGCCGAACAAATTCGTTTGGTTGACTCCAGCTGAGATGTCTGGGGGCTGTCTTCATGCTTTTCTCGATGGAGAGCTCATCGGAAAGTCCGACGAGCTTGTTGTCACCAAGCGCTTTGCTCGCCGACAGGAGAGGAAGTCGTTCGTTGATGTTGCAGGGACTGATAGCAACTGGTTTGATGGCGTTGCTTACTTGCAACAGAAGCAGCCAGATGAGGTTTTTGTTGCATCGGCCAAGAATAAGTCTTTTGGTATTCTGGGTGGAGGTATCTCTGGGCTTGCGACTTCAGTATGTAATTGCTTCAATAACGACACCAATTTGGTGCTAACAAAACGCCTTATAGCTGATGCTGGACTCTGTTGGTATTTACAACTGGAAGATCATCGAGTCGTCTCAGCGTATTGGCGGTCGCATTCGCACAGCCTATCTTAACGGCACTTCCCCCGACGAAGGCCAATATCACGAGCTTGGGCCCATGCGTTTCCCGTACGAGATTACAGACTCTGAGACCAACGAGACCTTCCCCTTCAACGACCAACGCATGATCTTCCAACTGGCCGATGTTCTCAACGAACTCAACGCTGACAAGGAGGAGCTGCATGTCAAGTTCATCGAATGGATCCAATCGTCTCCCAACACCCCAGCCGACAGTCCCTTCCGCCGTCCCGATGGAACAATTCCCAGCAAGACTGAGATAGCGACCGACCCTGCATACAAGAACACTATCGCATACGGCAACGCCACTGCTGTCGAAGAGGCCAACGCCGCTCTCGACGATTTCAAAGGCCTAGACACAGAGCGCATAAAGATGTACGCGACCAATATCTTCAAAGCCTACAAGCAAGCCAAAGACGACGGCATGTTCGACTACTCCGAGGTAGCCTACCTCCGCAACAAGCTCAAATACGACCTCAACACAACCGACGAAGTCGGCCAATCCCACATCTACTGGCCCATGTGGGAGTACGAAACCGTCTACTTCCTCGCCTCCAAATGGGTCACCATCAAAGGCGGCCTCTCGCGCATGCCCGCCGCCTTCGAGCCCCTTGTCAAAGACCGCATCCAATACGGCGCCAAAATCAACGGCCTTCACTGGAACGAAAACAACAAAACCATATCCGTATTCTGGAGGCCCACAGGCTCAGAACCCTACTCCACCCCCGACGAGATCGAAAACTTCGATTACGTCCTCAACAGCGTGCCTCTCAACCTCATGAAATTCTGGGCCCTGCCCCGCTACTCGAGTTTGCTGAAACGCGCCATCGACCGCACCCTCTTCGCCAACGCGTGTAAAGTAGCCGTGCAATTCAAGACGCGCTTCTGGGAACATCTTGACAAGCCCATCATAGGCGGGTGCACACGCCTCTACCAGCCTAATCTCGGCCAGATCTGCTACCCGAGCTGGCAAGTCAACGCCAGCGGCCCAGGAACAATGCTCGCCTCTTACTTGTCTGACTACGAAGCCACTGTCGCCTGCGCAATGCCCGAAGCCGAACACATGGCGTATATCAAACGCGCGTTTGCCGAAATGCATGGCGCGGACCTCATCGAAGAGAATTGGACCGGCAATTACGCGCGTCAATGCTGGGAGCAAGACGAGCACCAAGCCGGTGCCTTCACGATGCAGATTTTCGGGCAGCAGACCTTGTATCTTCCGGCGTTCTATCAGACGGAATTCAACACTGTGTTTATTGGGGAGGCGGCGACGTTTACGCATACGTGGATTTTCAGTGCGCTTGAATCTGCGACACGGGGGACTGTGCAGTTGTTGTTGGATATGGGGTTGGTGGATGAGGCGAAGCAGATTACGCAGACGTGGATGGCGAGATTTATTGAAGTTTAGTTTGGGAGGATGCATGTGTGTTGATTACATGGATTTCAATGTGATGAATGAGTTTATGGAAGCGTGGTTTGGGAGCAGACATTGTGATTTTGTTGGGACGTTTCTCTTGGATGTTTCGTCGTGTGCAGACTCTGATATACCTACTGTATATGCTCATGTCTTCGGAATGCCATCGCGCTCCTCGCCGCTCTGGCTTTCATAATCAACGGACTGGTATCGATGCTTTCTGCTTGGATTCTGCTAGTGTTCATTACTTAGTTCGTCCTTTCATCCCGTCTGCTAATCTACAGCATTATTAGAGGTGTTCACAATTTGTGTTGTATTCTACAACACAATTATCAAGGTAGGCGTACAAATTGTCTTCAGAGGTTACAACTTATAAAGATATGGTGGTATGTATCCGGCAGCATGGGAAACGGATATTACCTAGGAAGCCACCCTTGGTGACAGATCTCACTAACTTCATAAGCAACGAGCGATGATTGAACGCCTCTTCGGAGCCTGGCACCCTAACTCTTGACTCCCGGAGTACCCGCAATACCCCACCCACATATCCATTCCACAAGAAAGAGCAGAGATGGCACGGGAAGCACTCGTCCTTGATGGCAGGTTCATGGCATTCGCGAGATCGAAAGCCGGAGAACGACTATGGCTCACCTACTATCAGCGCAACTACGGCAATCGCGTAGACCCAAGCCTAGCACTAGTATACCAAAATCAACTTGGTCATGTGAGCTCTATGGGCCACATCGACTTTGATACGATCAGCGAAGAGGTCGTGGCCAAGAGGGGTCGCCTCGGCCTCACAGCAATCACCCTCACGCAGACCATGTCCCCTATCTGGCTATCCAAAGGCTTCAAATTGCTCTCAAAAGACGAAGTACAAGCACTGACCCCCGGAAACAAGCGCAAGGGTAGCCTTACTCCCAAGAAAGAGCGCAAAGCCAGCAGGGCCAAGGAAGACCCCGACCTCAAGCGGCGCCGCAACATCAATAAGACCCCCGACCTCCAGGCCAACAGCAAGAGATCGCGCAGAAATACGATTTCCACCCCGATCACCCCCGAAGTTAAGGCCGCGGCCAAGCGCGCCTTCCAGGACACAACGAAGCCCATGGACGAACAGTCGAACCACAACTTCCAAGTCACGGAGGCAGAGGCTCACGAGTCTGGACAGATGCCAACGTTTGCGAGGATGCCTCGACAGTGGGCACTTGACACAAACACCGTACATCCAGTCCACGAAGATATCGAAGACTTCGTTCGGGCTCTATCTTTTCGAGAAATATTAGAGTATCGCGCGTTAGGCGAAGCTTGAAGAGGGTGGAGTAGTGCGAGAGATGCGCGGAGTGGAGCAGGTATAGCTTTTGTTTGGTTGCGTACGACGCGTCGGCATTGGGGGTGCACGGGGTTTTGGAGGATACGTTGAACGCTTTGGTGGATTATGTTGATGTTATACCTTACCCTGGAGGTATATGCTATGTTCTAGGGCAACGCAAAGAGAGTAGGCAGGAGTATGTATACCGCCTGTATACGCTAGAATAGATATAGGTTGCTGCTACTGATGATGTATGCTCTAGAGGTGTCCGTAGAACGTGCTTGCCAATATTCTAAGGTTGATGTCGCCTCTAGGCTATCGCGAGGCAAGCGCTCTGCAGATGCCGTCTCTAAGACAAAACTCAGTGAGTAAGACCGAGCTCGTGAACACATCCCTATATCGTGGAGGCATTCCCAGTGTTCTACAGCAACCGACGAGCACTGCACAAGACTACGTACACCTCAACAACACCCCTAGATATACGTATGCTACCGCTACCTGCAATTTATACCTCAAAGATACTTAACAGATGCTCCTTCCAACACTTTGGCGTACATGTCGTCTACTGACTACCACAAGGTAAGAGCCCTACACAACTCCGCTTCCGCTTCCAGACAGGAAATCGCACCTCAACTCTACACAGAAAGCACCAACAACCCACCCATAAACGCAGCAGCCACGCCCTCGCAC